GTCGCCTGCCCACCCGCCACCCTCGCTCAAGGATTTTGCTCGTGGGTGGGCAAAATCGCCGCCGTCTTTCCCTGCGGACAAGGCAGGGGACAGGGACGGGGACGGAGCTGAGGTGGTGGTGGGGAGGCATCACTTGGGAACTGCTCGCTGGGATCCCAGCATCGCTTACTGCCACCTCAGAGCCTCTTCCGTGTGCTTCCAGGCCTCCCAAAGGCTTTCCTCCATCCAATGAAAATAATCAGTCCAATAAACACAAGACATGGGAACGGCCTGATTGCTTCCTTTTCGTGCTAAAAAGCTTGGCGCAGCAGGACTTTGCAGGGGCCAAGGGTTCCCAACGCCGCCTCCGGCTGGGGGGGAAGATGTTGCCTGTGCCGTGGGGGACCAGGGGTCTGACAAAGGACTGCGAGGGGAGTGTATAGGGGAGGTGTAGCTGGAGGGGGATTGGGGACCAGCTCCGTGCTGACAGCGGTGAGCCATGTCCAGGGTGCTCACGCAGACCTGTTTGCCTGCGTCTACGGACTTGTGGATGGGGAGCTTAAGAGGAGACAGGGACTTTCACTGGCTTCGCACCTGCCTGGCACAGCTGTGCAAGTGGAGGCCGTCCGCCTGTTCGTGACTTCCGCCGTGAGAAGAGTTGGTGCCGTGCCAACCAGCCGCCAGCCCAGGATGCGTGCAGCTGCAGGAGGCTGCCAGCAGGGTCCTGCGGATGGGGGGCTATTGCCAGCGACTCCGATGTTTGTTGGGGTGTGGGCTGGGAGCACTGGTGAGGTCTGTATGTGCTTTCTTCTCCTTGCACCCAACCCACCTCAGCCCCGACCTGCAACAGACATCCACCATCCCATCCTGCCCCGCTGTCCCCCTGCCTACACCCATGGCACCTCTCCAGCCGCTCAGGAGAGGGACAGGACCAGCCCCACGCCCGCGGGCACGGCCGAAAACCTTTCCCTGCAGCTCCTTGCCAACCCCTCCCACCTCCTGAGACAAGAGACAGAAAGAAAAGAAAAACGAGTGGCTCTTCATTACTGGGAAGGGCTGGCTGAGCTGCAGCCTGTGCCATGGCGGAGGCAGAGATGACCTGGCAGGGGACAGGATGGAGCATAGCTCAGACTTTCCCATAGTTTCAAAAACCAGAGCAAAACGAAGAAGCCAAGGGAACTGGGACAGCTGCCTGTCCTCCATGGGAGGGATGCTGGTAGAAGTGAGATTTCTCCTGCCAGCAGCCCTGATGGGGGGCCCCTCAGCCACAACGTGGTGCCAGGGACAGGCATTACCTGACAGCAGCGAGGAGAGGGGAAGGCAACCGGCCATTGAGCTGGCTCTATGCTCCAGCCCCCCGTGCCCTCCACGGGGACCCCCAAACCCCATCGGCTCAAGCCACCTGGTGACGCTCTGCCCTCCATCTAGGCGTAGGCAAGAGGAGGAGCACTGCCCCACAGGGTCTTCGTTTTCTTTTCTGCTCCGGTTATTAAGCGCTTGTTTTTGTCTCCCCCCCACCCCTCTCTCTGCCCCTGTCTATTCTAGGCTGACGTCTGAGGTCACTGGAATGGGCGCACTCTAATTTCCACCCACCATCCTCCACTCCCCCGCCCCCCTCCAGCCACCGGCCCGCCCCCCAGCCTGTACTGCCTGTACATTTACCGTCTTCCCTTTGCCTCCACAGATACTCCTTTCTTTACTAATGAGTATATATATATATATAAATACACACGCATATGCACACACTGGAACGTTTCTTTACGAGCTCCTTACTGTGCTCCTGAGGCTGCTCCCAAATTCTTTGGTTATGGTCCTTGTTTTCAGCGTACAGTGTTATTACTTCATCTGCTTTTCGGGGGGCAGGGAGGGGGGGGTTGTTTTTTTCTGCTGGCAAGACTTCAGAAGATGATGGGGTCTCTCTTGTCAGTCTAGCGTAGCTACTTAAACGTTTGAGTTGACGTTGGCGGTACTTGCTGTAGACTATGGACGTGTGACACCACCCAGATCTGTGCGTGCTTCAGAGTACTTACTTTTCTCACCCTTCCTTTGATTTTCCCTCTTCGTTCGCTTTGCTTGTCCTGGCTCACCTTTGTGACCTCGCATCCCTGCCCTCAGGGTAAGGCATAGTTTTCATCCATGTTATTTGGGAAGCAGAACGTGCAGGAGCCAAGCCAACGCTCACGTACGGGTTCACCCGCAGACTTCTCTTTGCAACATGGCAGAGTCCAGACAAGCCATTTTTCATACTAAACGAAGGGAATCACACACACACACACAAATGGTCCTCTTTTTTAACTAACGAGGAACTGGAAGTGGGAAAAATTCAGCTGTATGGGATTCACACCCTCAGGGGCCTTTGAAAGCACTCTTTTGACAATCCCCACGAGCAAAACCTTTGGACGATAGCTCAGGAAGCTCTGTGAGCCAGCTGTGTTTGTCGCTGTTTGTGTTCAATAAATGTCTGTGCAGCTCTGCTACCGATGGGCTCCGACTGTTCTTCTCCTGGGTCATCCCGCCATCTCCAGCCCCATCCTTCCCTCTGCATCCTTCCACATCTTTTTAGCTGCTTGGAGGGAAGGTGGGGGTTGTATACAAAACTTCTTCATTGTTATTATTATTTATTTATTATTATTATCAACATCATCACCATCATCATGTTTTATTTTATTTAGAGAAGGTCCCCATGAGTGATGCACTTCCTGAGTGATTCTAGGCTTTCTTTTTTTAAAAGGGAGGGTACTTGGCTCACATAATGCTTTGGTTTTCCCTAAGATTAATTTTCAAGTTACGTATGACAACAAACATCTCTCACTGCCTCCTTGTCTGGACAGATCTGCCATGTCTATTCCCCACACCTTTCCCCAAGACCCTTTATGCCCAGCCCTGTCTTCTGCTTCCAGGCTTTACTTCTCTCTCCTACCTCTCAAACAGGGAAACAAATATATTTTCCATCTTCCTACTGTACAAAACGTATGGTACGTGTTTTTCCTGTATTGCAAATGAGGGGATTATGATAGACCACGTCCCCAGGCAGCTAAAGCAGCCACACAATACATTTTTGCACTGTACCACATGGGAAATATATTATTTTTCCAGGTGAACCCCAAGACTTCATGGCCTTTCCCTCTCTTCCTCCTGTAGTGCCGGCAGGCACCGTTGGCAGCTCCCCTGCCTTCTCCGGCCAGGATCCTGGACCGCTTCTCCTCCTCTCGCCAGTGCTGACTGCTCAGTGCCCACAGAGGGCTGTGGTGGGGACCCTGAGTGATGGCACCGCATCAGTGGAGCCAGGGATGGGCAGGAGGTTATCGGCTCCAGCCCTAGAACAGGGGCTAGTGCAGCTGCTCGGTGGCTGGCAAGGATGATAGCACAACTCAGAGAGGGCAAAGGGAGTGAGCTTGCTTGGGCAAGACAGTACGTGCCCGTTACCTGCGTCTATCAGGCAGCATCGTCACCTCCCCTTAGAGGTCCATTCCCCCAGCCCAGGAGCCCACTGCTGGCAAAGCTCCGCAAAGGTGGAGGTGGCTGCCAGTCCCTGCCGCTGAGCATCAACGATTTATTCAGCGTAGGTGTCATAAAACCCATGAGTGCTCAGTTCTCTGGGGCGTTTCAAGCCTCTGCAGTTAAAGCTGCTTCCAGCACCTTCCTAAGGTGCTTTGCAGCCTGTTCCCAACCCCTCGCTCTGCTCTCCCTGGCAGTTTGGCTTCAGCTGTGCCTTTCAAGTGGTCCAGTAGCAAACATGCTCAAGAGCATCCCCTTATTCCCCATCCAGGGGAGCACAGGTGCTTTGGGCAGTGCTACCGAAGCTCAGGTGGAGGCAGTAACCTCCCCCGGCAGCAACCCCCCCTGTATTTGTGTTGATGCCAGAGGAGGGAAGGAGCCCAGGCACCAAATGTAGCCTTCCCCAAGTCGCTGACTGGCCAGAGCAAGCAGAGAGCCACCTGCCAAAGTGGTCAGTCAGTCATGGGAAACTGGCACACCTCACTCTGGTCTAGCCCAAGTATTTTTCCTGTTGAAAGAACAAAATATCTGTGTGTGAGACCCAGCATGAAAATAATCACCCTTCACTGTGCCAGAGCCACCCCGGCAGCTGGAGTGGTGAGCCGGGGCACGTGCCAGCCAGCAAAAGCTCCACATCCCACTGCCACCACCCTCCAAGCAAAGCGATGGCAACCAGTGGCCTGAGGTGATGCCCACCTCGGAGAGGGATGGTGCACGGAGGGAGCCAGCCCATCTTGCCATGGTTCAGCTCTCCCTTGGGGCTGTAGGCTAAGCCAGAGCATGAGCAGACCTTGCAGGCGATGGAGATACATGGAAAGCAACCAAGGTGTGTGGCAGGAGCAGCCTGCCTCTTCTTGCATTGCTTTCTTGGCATGCGGGAGCACTTTAGAGCTCTGGCATGCAAGGCGCAGTCAGAAATCATCATCAGCATCATGTCAGCTGAGACTGAGAAATCCGTCACAAGCCAACGCGTTTGTGGGGTTCATATATCCGTCGATCGCTTATGACCTGAGGAAAGCAGGGGACCTTACTAGCCTGCTAATTGCAATGAATGTGGAAATGGATTTGTGCAGGGAGCTGCGGTTTCTGCAGATCGCGTCTGCCCTGAATTTCTTTGCTGTGTGTGCTGTGCTCCCCGCGCTATTCCCCACCTCCACTGAGACAGCGCTGCCCAAACTAGCAAATGCCAAACTAGGTCTGCCAGATGCAACTGCCCTCAGAGGCTGCTAGAGAGGAGGAGCAGACTGCAGCAATACCTCTACACCCATCCCCATGCCAGTGAACCTGCAGATAACATCCCCCTCTGGGTACCATCCCCATCCTAGCCCGCTGCAATATGTCTATCACCCAGAGAGACCGTGCCTGACAGTAAAGCTGCCGCAGGAATCAATGGTGAAGGAGGGGAGGTCAGATACGAGCATCGCTCTGGCATCAGGCAGGTATCCGAGCTGTCGTCTCGAGCTGCGCGCTGCAGCAAGGACCTGGGCTCATGGGAGCGCTCTGGGGAGCAGTGCACGGGGCCAGGGAGGGCAAGGGACGGTCACAGCAGTAGCAGTCACCTTACAGGACCGCTGCGTCTTTGTAGCCTCAGCTGGGCGTGGAGCAGCAGGAGAGTGTCACAATTTTTCCAGTACCTAGATAAAAAGCAATGCTGCTCAGGATGTGATTTTTAAGGACTGTTACTGAGATGTGCCGTCCTGGAGGTCAGAGATGGGGCTGGGTTTTGCCTTCTCCCCATGACATTTCAGCTCACTTTATCTGAATGATGTCTGCTTGCATGATTGTTAAATCTCACGGTATTTCCAAGGGGCTTGAGGAGGCAAAGGAGCCTTAATGTACCGAACCGATCACAATTCTGCTTTTTGCTCTGATACGGGATACCTTTTTGTTTTAACCATCTGGAGACCATTTATAACAGAAAAGGCCACTTGAGCAACTCTAGCTGGGAAATGCCAGCCCTCCTGCAAATAAAGCCAGGCGTCTCTCAAACCTGGCATGCAAAAAATGATAAATCTATACTGGGCCTCCACAAAGCAAATGCTTATTCGCTTCCCATTGCTCAAGAATCCCCTGCTTGGCGGAGGGAGAGATACAGCACGGCCCGCGGCTTTCCCCCCTGTGCATTTAGGTTTTAGAGGATGGGGGAAGGAGCTGAGCCCTTTGCTGTGGGGCTGGAGAGAGAGGAGCCTGCAGAAAGCACCGGGTGGGATCCTGCAGGAGAGGGCACGATGAAGGATGTGGTCACACTGGCATGGCTGAGGCATCCCTCCTTCTGACGTTACCCAAGCCTTTGACTTTGCGACTTCTCTTAGCGGTCAGGTTATTTTGCAAAGGAAAAAAAAAAAAAAGACACAGAACACCAGTGTTATGTGGGAATCTATCAGCTTATCCATCATCATCTGGGCCTGAGCGAGGCCTGGAGAAAGGGGTGTTTAAAAAATTGTGGCATCTCCTGGGAACATGTTGATGACAACAATGATAACAAAATCACAAGGAATGTGTCAAACTCAGCTTTGATTTCCTTGGTACTGCTCAAAAGGAGATTTTGTGTTTTCTTTGGAAGGAACCTTCATGTTTTGCTTTTACTTGTGATACGTCTTGGGTTTGCATTTTATATGAACTTAAAATGCTCCAGTGATGCATCCACGGCTGTGCCACTGGAAAACATACGTAAATCTCTAATATTGGAGTGAATATTCAATACAAGGTGAACGTCCCAGTTAATCAACAGACTAGCTTTAGTGCATTGCTTTTCTCTCTCAAAGCAATGCGTTTTATGCAGACAGAATGATTCAACATTTCTGGAAGTAACCAACTCGGTATTACTCAGTCAGACTCTATGGGAATGACTTATTTTATGGGAAATCGTTACTTTGGCAGGAAAGTATTGGTCCAATGCCTCCTCCTGCCCCCTGAGAGTGGTGGCTGTCCATCAGAGAGGAGCTGGCTGAGGAACGAGCTCAGCCCCTTGGGCCTCAGCTGAAGGTCTCCACTCCCCCTCATGTCCTTCCCAGGTCATGCTCCCAAAATGAAGTGTTTGGAGTATTGTTATGCGCATTTTTTTCCGAGACTTTATTTGCAAAT